ACCCGGCCCGGCGGCTCCAGTCTGGAATGCGGCCGGCCCCCTCTCAGTGTGGGGGAGAGATAGGGAAGGGGGGGGGGAGACAAAGGAAAGGGGGAGGAGGGAGAGACACAGGAAAAGGAGGGAGGGAGACACCGGAAAGGGGAGAGGGAGAGACACAGGAAAGGGGAGGAGGGAGAGACACCCGGGAAAGGAGGGAGGGAGAGACACAGGAAAGGGGAGGGAGAGACACAGGAAGGGGGAGGGAGGGAGAGGGGAGAGACACAGGGAAAGGGGAGGGAGAGGGAGGAGACACAGGAAAGGGAGGGAGAGATGGGGAGAGGAGGAAAGGGGAGAGACACAGGAAAGGGGAGGAGAAACGAGGGGGGGAGAGGGAAGAGACACAGGAAAGGGGAGGGAGAGATGGTGATAGGGGAGAGACACAGGAAAGGGGAGGGAGAGACAGGAGGAGAGACACAGGAAAGGGGAGGGAGATGGGGGAGGAGAGATGGTGAGGGGGGGGAGAGGAGACACAGGAAGGGGAGGGAGAGATGGGGAGAGAGGGGAGAGACACAGGGAAAGGTGGGAGGGAGGGAGAGATGGTGAGAGGGGAGAGACACAGGGAAAGGGGGAGGGAGAGATGGTGAGGGGAATAGGGAGAGGGGAGGGAGAGAGATGGGAGAGACAGGGAAAGGGGGGAGGAGAGAGATGGGGGAGACAGGGAAAGGAGGGAGGGAGGGAGATGGGAGAGACAGGGAAAGAAAGGAGGGAGGGAGATGGGAGAGACAGGGAAAGGAAGGAGGGAGGGAGATGGGAGAGACAGGGAAAGGAGGGAGGGAGGGAGATGGGAGAGACAGGGAAAGGAAGGAGGGAGGTAGGGAGGGAGATGGGTGTTTATTTGATTCCTATTCAAGAGAATTACTTTATATATATAGTCAATATAGGCACAGAGTTAAATTTTTTAACATTTTCTAATGGTGGTGTGCCTCGTGATTTTTTTCATGAAACAAGTGTGCCTTTGCCCAAAAAAGGTTGAAAAACACTGTGTTAGAATATATTGTTTGAGAAATTTTTTTAATAAAAGTATTTAGAGAAGCCATCTGGGCCAGGTGATTTCTTATTTTTTAAGTTATTAATGGCTTGGATGACTTCTCTAGTTTCAATTAGTTTTTCCAATGTTTCCCTATGTTTTGTGTCTAATGCTTGAATATTCAAGTTTTTTTGAATAGTTAAGAATTTGAAATTATTTTTTTATATGTTCAGCTATATTGTATAATGAAGAATAATACTCTCTGAATGCAGAGGTGATTTTATCGGGGGACTTACATTGATTGTTTATTGATTTATTGTCCATATAGTCATTGTGGCAAAACCACTGCCTATTCGTGGATTTTCCCTATCTTTCACATGTATTTTTTATGTATTTTCATTTGTTATGCCCGCTCCCCATTCGGAAGCACTCCCACGAAGGGGATTCATTCACCTCCCAAACGGGGACCACCACAATACCTCATTTAGAATGTTAGTATAGAATGTTCACACCTCCCAATAACCTCGCAACAGAAGTGTCGAAACCGCAAACCACAAGTGAAACAATTAATGAGTGCTTCCCTGGGTGGGCCCAATTCGTACAGGATTGATTCCTAACTAGTTTGTATTCCGAACGAGGGCCTCCCTGGTGCCCCATTAGAATGTTCACACCAATTAATTAGAACACTCGCACCCACAACATAGATGTGTGTTAAGACACTCCCGGCATCAATGAGTGAAACCGCCGTTTAGTAGATCTTCCCCTTTAGAGACCCAGGCACCGTTGCTGTAGACTGCCAAACTCCCGAACGGAACATAAGGGAATGCTCCAAACTCCCGAACAAAGAATCATAGGAACTCCTCCTCTCCTGGAACAGGCAAAAGTAGCAATCCCCCCCCCCCCAAACACGAGACCAAGCTCCGTCTTAAGGGTAAAACAGGAATCTGCTTTAATGAGGGCTACCTGTCCGGTATTTATGCAGGTCTCCCACCTGGTGGACACTCCCCTAGGGCACCAGATGGAAGACTGGGACAAGTATGATACATTAGCCAATCAAGGTGGCTCAGACATAAAACCTTCCCCTTTGTACAAGCAACCCCTCCTCTCTATCCTGGAGATAATTGGGAAGAAATCCAATTATCTCCATGGATAGAGGAAAAACGCCATTTTAAATAATACAGTAAAAATACATAAAATTCCATAACTTCAAAACTACCGAATGCATTCCACGCATCCCCAGATAGCCTAGATTTGAGTGCATATTATTACTGAATGGCGCTCAGATCCAATACACACAGTTCAATCGCCATGGAGCCAAAGTCTTTCACACTGTTCTTTCGGTATACGAAGGGCTCCATGGGATGGCTATCTGGGTTAAGTCCTGAACAGACCGGTGTTCGTATGCCGGATGACAAGGAATGGAGGTCGGCGATTTTCAGTGGTGTTCGGGAGAAAAAGTGTCCGTTTTGAGTTCCATAAATTTGTTGACGAACACCGCTGTGTATTCGTGCATCTAAGATGGCTGCCGCCTTGTGGTCGGCATATGAACGACGACCACCCAGCATACGCCCAGGAGGTGTCTGCGGTTAACCACAATGTTCGAATTGGGGCCAATAGGTTAACCAGCAGCACACTCCTCTTCTGGGTGGCCAGCCATTCGGCAGTTTGTTCGGTAGATTATCAAACAAACGAACGGGGAAGTAGACAGGCAATTACATGAATCCACCGGGAAAGCGTCCACCATCCCAGTCACAGTGTGAAACCGCAAGGAATGGAATTAAAGGGACTCTCCAGTGCCAGGAAAACATATCCCTAATGCGCAATGGCCATGCGCATGCATTGTTAAACCCATCCTGAGTTCCGCGTACCACCCACAGACCAATGACTTTTGCTAGCGCTTCAATTGCACGTTGAAGCAGATGCTCCGTACCTTTGCAGAGACTCGCAAGGATTGGGGACTATTCCTGCCACATCTCCTGTTCGCCTATTGGGAGATGCCCCAGGAATCTACAGGGTTCTCTCCCTTCAAACTGATGTTCAATAAGAGGGTTAGACCTGGTTTGCGAGCACTGTGAGGGGGAAGGGGAGCAAGAAGGAACCCCCAACATGCCATATGTGCTAGAGTTTTGGGACCAGCTGGAGAAACTCACCCACCTGGTGTGTGGGAACCTCCAGGGTAACTGGTATGATAGGGGAGCCAGGAGCCGTAGCTTTCAAGTCGGACAGAAGGTTTTGGTTCAAAAGCCTGTCCATCATGACAGGCTACAGACGTCCTTGCAGGGCCCCTACCGGGTAGTGGAACGGATGTGTGACACTACCTTTGCTCGGGTGGTATGCTCAAACCCTACCAAGAGCGGCACAGGCATTTTTTATTCACAGCGGCCCACTGAAAAGGGGGCGGGGCCAGATAGGGTGTGTTTTGTCATCCCCAATGACAAGCACGCCCCATCTCAAAGTGAGCATGTTGGTTCACTGCTCTTCCAGGGCATGAGAAAAGGGCCCTGTATTTATTCTGCACAGCGCATGCAAGTTTAATAACATGCTTGCATTGTGCTTGCTTGAAACTTGTCTCAGGGGTTTCCATAATTGGGATACTCACTGTATCCTATTTATGGAGACACTATGTGTGACGAAGTGCCCTTTGCCATTTGTGCTTGGAGAGGACTAATTGTCTAGTCTTTTGCCTTGTGACTATGGCCCCTGGGGTGTATTGCCTTTTAAAAAGTCCATTTGTGCAGATTGGATTCTAAAACACTGTGTCTGGCCCTTTAAATTCTATGGGAAAGATCTGCACTTTTGAACTAGCCCTTCGGATACAGCCGAAGTAGTCGAAGTGGCCATCATCCGACATACGAACTTGTGGTGGCGGCAGCCATTTTAATTCAGTCGAACGTGTTCAGCTGTGTTTTTGGTCTTCGAGTTCATAGAACTAAAATCAGATACGCAATGGCACAAACACCGCTGAACTTCTACCTTCTCTGAAACTTCAACACTTCGAATGGAGTTGAACAGAGTTCGACAATACGAACGCCCCATTAACAGTGCCTATTTCATGAACGGCCCCGTTCGTGCATTTGTAATTCTTTATTCTTGATGTGCATAGCAGAATTCACAGAGTAATCAAGACATTGCATAGAAAGACATGAGTGAATATTAACAAAATTACATTATGCCTGTCTGAGGTACTGCACAAATTTTTATAATTATGATAGGAGATAGCAAGGTATGGTGCTTAGCAAGGATGGATTATAATGAAAGTGAAAATGAATGTGGTACGGTGCATGGAAATAGTGAGTAGTCACGCTATAGGGATTGTTCTATGTAATAGTGGGGGTTGCAGCGGTAGGTAACCTCAGCAGCGTTTAAGGCATGAGGGGATTATCAGACTATTAGTGCCACTAGTGGGATTTAATTAGGCTACAGCACACATTGTATGTAATTAAGTTTACAGGCTACAACAAAGCAAAAGTAGTAGCATAAGTGTCGCTGTGGAGGTTGCATTTAGCTCACTCAGCCGATGCCCTCAGGAGGTGAGGCACAGTCCCTGGGTAATTGGGTGCCAGCAGACTTGAGCAGGTTGCTCCACCGATCCCTAGACGCATTCTGCGTGCCTCTGGGTGCTGCCGTGGTGCAGGTATAGTTGCAGGTGCAAGTGGGTGTGTCCCTCCAGCCCCAGGCTGTTGTATAGGTCGGCATTTCTGTGCCACTCACCCGGTGGCTTAGACAGTCCGAGTGTCTTCCCCATGTGGGGGTGCGTGCGCCTCCGTTTGCATGGGTGCTGCCTGTGGGACTGAAACCTCTTGGCCTTCAGCCTGGGAGGGCCCTGTAGATTAACAGTAGGAGTATGTTGTGGTGCTGTGCCTGAGAGTATCCCCTTTGCTCCACTCTGTTTGCGGTCCAGCATGTTCTTTGACGGGAGAGCTTGGTGATCCATTCGCTCGCGCCCGTCTCCGTAGTTCTTAACAGAAACACTGGAATATATGTTCCAGACGATGCCTGTAGTCGGCTGTGGTATCAGGATGGGGCCCTTGGCTTGTAGGTAGGCTCAGTATCTCGAGTATGGCCGCCATCTTGGGAGCGCCACGAGGGAGAGGCGTTACAGGTGTGTTGCTCAGCATGTAGGTCTGTGCGGGGCTGCCCGCTTTAGTTGCCGGGATATCCCTCACCGGCGTGGCAGGGACGGGATGGCTCGTGGGGACCCACATTGTCATGGCCCGCAGTCAGCTGAGGGATTGGCCTCCTCCCCCGCGCCTCCCGGGTAGGCCGCATGTAGACCTCAGGTCCATCTACTGGCTGCGGTCGCCCAGTCGGGTCACTTCTTCGATTTAGCCTCTCATCCATGACTGACCCCTATTTCTGGGGTTTGTAAGTAGGTTATACATCATTTGTGGAGGTATTTTGGCCGATTTTTTGGCTAATTTGCCTGGAGCTCCTCTGCAGTGCGACCGTTTATCAAGGCTGTGTGTGTTCGTGCATGTGACGAGACCAATCTCGCCACTGTGCATTGGAGGAGCCTGGTTGCCCGTCTGCTGCCTTTAGACTATGGCCCCATGTTGAAACGCTTGATTTTCCCCTGCAAAGACACGAAAGCCGGGTCATTCGGTGCTTGCCCTGTTTGAGCGGTGATACCCCAGATAGCTATGCCATGGAGCCCATTCGTATAATGAAAGACTATGGGAAAGACTTTGGCTCCATGGCAATTGAACTGTATGTGTGTGCTCTGAGCGCCATTCAGTAATAATGTGCGCTCAGATCTGAGCTATCTGGGGATATGTTGAATGTACCTGTTTTATGCAATGGCTGCACAGTTATATATTTTTATGTATTTTATTGTCTTTTGCTGCCATGTGTTCAATGGAGTTTTGCCTTTGTCCTTGGAGATAATTGGATTACTTCCCAATTATCTCCAGGATAGAAGACTCCGTGGAACTGCTTTTGGGCAGAAAAGCCATGCTTCATTTGGTCACAAAGGATTTTGACATATGTTTGTATTTGGAGTATGCTGAACTGTAAGTTTTATGTGAATATGATGCATACTTTTATTTAAGTTATGAATAATGTGAAAAAATTGTTTCTCTACCTGTGATAATTACATTACCCATTGTGTAAGGTAATTGTATCACAGGCAGAGGGGAGGATTTTGTGTGGGAGTGTCTGAGTGTATTGTACGTGTTTATTGGTTGTTTTCTAGTTCAGAAAATGTAACTTTTATTGGGATGTATAATTTTGAAATTATAAAAATGTTGTAAAAAGTATATTTTTTGCTTGGAGATAATTGAGTTGATACAGCAATTAACTCAATTATCTCCCAAGCAGAGGGGAGGAATTTACAATAAGGAATGGGAGTGTTTAACTGTGTGTCTGTAAATGATTGGTTTGTGTTTTCGGTGCCCAACAAGGTCCACATGGGTGGTAACCTTGTGGGGAAAACTGTATAAAAGAAATGCCCCTTGCATTCAATAAACCAGATCTTCTTGCCCTCAACTGGTAGCCTTGTCTCGTGTTGTAGGGAACAGCTATACCAGCTATATCACTGCTAGCTCTTGTAAGAGCTCTCTTTCTTCAGCTATACTCTCTTGGAGGAAAGACCCAGCTATAATCTCTTGGAGGAGAGGCTACCCCAGCTATACTCTCTTGGAAGAGAGGTCCTGCCCACATGCTTCTGGATCCTGAGGTTGGATCCTGAGGTGGGAAGGAGAAGGCGAGATCCCAACAAGCTACGGCGGTTCATGGAGTCTCCGGTGCCAAAGGTGTCAAGTGCAGTGCTGATGGTCCTTGAGCAGTGCTAGGAGCATCCGTCAGCAGAGGTGTCCATCACACTATGTTTGGAAGTATTGTATGTGGCAGCGTGTGGCAGCGTGAGTGATGCAGCGTGTTTGGGTGCTGCTGTGTGTATGTGTGAGGTGTGCAGTGTGTGTGTGAGGGTGCTGTGTGTGTGGGGGGTGCAGTATGTGTGTGTGAGGGTGCAATATGTCTGTATGTGAGGGGTGCTGTGTGTGAGAGGGGTGATGTGTGTGTGTGTGAGGTGTGCGTTAGGATGCTGTTTGAGGGTGACGTGCGGTGTTACGGTGCTGTGTGAGGGTGGTGTGTGAGGGTGCTATGTGTTAGGGTGATGTGCAAGGGTTCTGTGTGTGTGTGTGTTAGGGTGCTCTGTGAGGGTGAGGTGTGTGTGTGTGTAAGGGTGGTGTGTGTGTGTGTGTATTAGGGTGCTGTGTGAGGATGGTGTGTGTGTTAGGGTGCTGTGTGAGGGTGATGTGTGTGTGTGTGTTAGGGTGCTGTGTGAGGGTGAAGTGTGAGGGTGATGTGTGTGTTTGGAAGGATTGTGTTTTGGGGGAGGCAGGTAAATTCCAAGATGTATAAAAAGGTATTATACCCTCAGTAGCCTGGTAAGGGGGATTCTGCTGCTGCTCTCATCCTTCCCTGGTGGTTCTAGTGGTGAGTGAACTCTAGACTGTGGGGCAAGAGTTCACTCTCGCGAGACCTGGACTGTTGCCATGGCAACTATCTGAATCTCGCGATTCCTCTCCTGGCTTTCTCTCTCCCTCTCTTACTCGCCGGCGGCCGCATTTCAATGCATGTGGGCCAGTGGGGAGATCTCTGATCTCCCCACCGGCCCGTCATGTAACACAGCTTGGCCAGCGCTCAGATAGTGCCAGCCCTGCATGGACTGGCAGGGGAGATCCTGTGGCCGGCCTCAGCCCGTTGCCATCGTGGCCTACTGGGCATTTGTCCGGTTTGCCCAATGGCCAGTCCGGGCCTGGTCATACACATACTTACTACAAACAAGCTCACTATCACACATCCTCACTACAGACAAACTCATTGACACACACACATGCTCACTACAGAAAAACTCACTGACACACCCATGCTCCATACAGAAAATCTCACTATCACACACATGCTCCCTCCAAAAGAGCTCACTGACACACACACATGCACACTTGTTCACTACAGACAAGCTCACTGACACAAATGCTCACTACCGACATGGTCCCTGACAAACACATGCTCACTACACACAAGCTCACTGTCACACAAGCTCAATATAGACAAGCTCTCTGTCACACACATGCTCACTACAAACAAGCTCACTGACACATGCTCATTACTTACAGGCTCACTCACTGGCATACAGGCGCACATACACACAGTCACTGTCATGGGCTGAAGCCTACCTGTGGTGGGAGCACTGGTAGGTGAAGTATCCATTTTCTGGCCTCTTCCTTCATGCAAAGTCAACAGCGTGCGTTTCGGGGCATGATTTGAGTGTGGGAGGCAGGGATTGAGTGCAGGGCAGAGTATAGAGGCACCAAATTGCTGGAGATTCAGAAGTGAGACTTACAGTGTTCCCTCCGGCTGCCTAGCAGCCTAAATGCAGCCGCACCTTCAGCTCCCAGCACCATGTGCATCCACAGGGGGGATTGCCCCCCCCCCCCCCTGGATTTTTCAGCTTGTTCTGCTATTTTTCAGGTGAGATTGAAAATGCACTGCAATACCGGTGCTGTGTAGGGAGAGAGACAGGGATAGGAAGCTACATCTTATCCCTGCTTCTCTCTGCTGACTGAAACTGCAGGGGAGCAGCACATGCAGCCAGCAGGGACAGCTGACATATCAGGTGAGGGATGTGGGGGCAGACTATAGATCAGGGAAGTGAGGCATGGGGGCGCAGCCTATAGATTAGGGAAGTGAGGCATGGGGGCGCAGCCTATAGATCAGGGAAGTGAGGCATGGGGGCAGCCTGCAGATCAGGGAAGAAAGGGATGGGGAAGAGAAGAGACAGCCTACAGATCAGGTGAGGGATGGAGGGCAGACTATAGATCAGTTAAATGAGGCATAGGCGGCAGCTTATTGATCAGGGAAGTGAGGCATGGGGGGCAGCCAATAGATCAGGGAAGTGAGGCATGGGGGTGTAGAATATTGCATATTCTATGTTTCTATTGATTATATATGGATGTCTGGATTGACATAAGTAATAGATGGTATAAGTCACAAGGCATGCTTTGTTTGAGAGCTCGGGAATGTAAGTTGGGGTTTTGTCCTTTTATGGCTAGAGTTATAGTCTGACGTCATTATGGCACTTCTATATAGTAACTGAACAAAGAGACACGAGGTCTCTCGCTCTCTTGGCTCTTGGCACTCTTTACTGTACAACGATGTAACTCTCCCATCAGAAGTCCAGCAATTACCATCTGCTGTTGAATGTCTATTATCCTGTAACATCCTTTGTTGTTTTATTATGTATCAGTAACTAAGAATAAATCTGAAGAAGCCATAAGTCAGATTAGTACTTTTCATTAATATAGACATATATTAATGAGGCGAGCAAATTTGGCCCAAGACTATATATACAAAAGACGTATATATCAATCAACTGAAGAGAAGAAGAAATTAAGAAGATTCAACATTGACAATCGATTTGAGCTAGATTTTACAGGGGGCAGCCTATAGATTAGGGAAGTGAGGAATGGGGGCAGTTTACAGATCAGGGAAGTGAGGCATGGGAGGCAGCCTATAGATCAGGGAAGTGAGGGATGGGGGAGAGACAGCCTATAAATCAGGGAAGTAAGGCAGGGGGCAGCCTATAAATCAGGGAAATGAGGCATGGGGGCAGCTTACAGATCAGGGAAGTGAGGCATGGGGGCAGCTTACAGATCAGGGAAGTGAGGGATGGGAGAGAGACAGCCTATAGATCAGGTAAGTGAGGCAGGGGGGCAGCCTACAGATCAGGGAAGTGAAGCATGGGGGCGCAGCCTGCAGTTCAGGGAAGTGAGACATGGGGCAGCCTATAAATCAGGGGAGTGAGGCAGGGGGCAGCCTATAAATCAGGGAAGTGAGGAAGGGGCAGCCTATAAATCAGGGAAGTGAGGCAGGGGGCAGCCCATAAATCAGGGAAGTGAGTACGGGGCAGCCCATCAGGAAGTGAGGCAGGGGGGCAGCCTATCAGGGAAGTGAGGCTGGGGCAGCCTATAAATCAGGGAAGTGAGGCAGGGGGGCAGCCTATAGATCAGGGAAGTGGGGCAGGGGGGTTAACCTACAGATCAGGGAAGAGAGGTATGGGGGGCAGCCTACAGATCAGGGAAGTGAGGCATGGGGGCAGCTTACAGATCAGGGAAGTGAGGGATGGGGGGCAGCTTACAGATCAGGGAAGTGAGGGATGGGATAGAGACAGCCTATAAGATCAGGGAAGTGAGGCAGGGGGCAGCCTACAGATTAGGGAATTGAGGCATGGGGGCAC